TGGAGAACGGGCGCGCACGGATGGACAGGGTGTAGCGGAGAGGAGGGACGGGGGCAAAGGCGACGGGGCAGCGGGAGCAGGAGCAGCAGCCAGAGGGGTAAAGGGGGGAAGAGGGAGGTACTGTACTGACGTCGTCCTCGGCTTTAGCATCAGCACCGTACTGCAACAGCATCTCCACCACCTCGACATGACCGTTACCGCAGGCCATGTGCAGTGGTGTATAGCCATACTGTGGGATGATGCATCAGCATGACGTACAGCATCATCATCATCATCATCATGGGGTACAGGTGCACCATCATAGGGGGGGTAAAGGGAAGAAGAGGGAGGTACTGTACTGACGTAGTTCTGGGCTTTAGCATCAACACCGTGCTTCAACAGCATCTCCACCACCTTGACACGACCGTTTTGGCAGGCCCAGTGCAGTGGTGTCCAGCCAACCTGTGGGATGATGCATCAGCATGACGTACAGGTACAGCATCATCATCATCATCATCATGGGGTCCAGGTGCACCATCATAGAGGGGGGTCAAGGGGGAAGAGGGAGGTACTGTACTGACGTTGTTCTTGGCTTCAGCATCAACACCGTGCTTCAACAGCATCTCCACCACCTTGACATGACCGTTATAGCAGGCCTCGTGCAGTGGTGTATAGCCATGCTGTGGGATGATGCAAACATGCAGTATATGTCCCATGTTATACCATAACGTCACCACATCAGTGACATATTCAAAGTGTAACCAATATCACACAGCATCATACCAAACAGCATACGTACCTTATGTTTGTATTGGGCAGCATCTCGTATACGTTGTTGGTCCCAACTGGTCACCAGCTGCAGCGCCTTTTGTGGATCTGATGAATCACACGCATCGTACAGCTGCCCTCCATCATCACTCATGGTAACGGTATCTCTCTCTCTATTCACCATCCGCTTCAAACCGCTTTGCTTGCTTCTCTATCCACCACCAATCTCATGAGCCCCCTCCAAGTACAACTCGTCTGACAACCCAGAATTCGGACTGGGATCCGACAGGCGCGCGCCGTTTCCAAAACGGCAGCCGGTCAGCGGGCTCCTTGCTCTTCTCTGCCTGATGCAACAAACCTCGAGACAAATAACTTGGTTGCGAGGACCGGTGGACTTGGTTGCCCAACCGCACGTGAGGCGAGATCAGTGAGGCCAACTTCAGTTGAAAGCAAAAAAAATGGCAGCAGTGCTTTCAATCAAACGTTCTGGCGTCGCCCCAAGGCCCCAGCCAGGAGAGTCCCGTACCAAGCACAGGCGATCAGTCGTCACACACACACAAAGCAAGACACGTCAAGTCAGCTGATATCGAGATCGAGACCGATGCCAAAGAGGGGAAGAAGAAGTCAAAGGCAAATGGCAAAAGCCAAAGAACGAGAAAAATGCGAAGAACACACACACACACACACACACACACACACGTTTACACCTTTTTCTTCTTCTTTTTTACTTTCGGAGAGGAAAGTCAAAACAACAACAGTCTTACAAGCAAATGTTCCAAAGCGCCGTCAAGCTTGTGTCCGTACCAACGTGGACTGCCCCTTTGCCTGGCATGACAGCTCGCCTGTTACGAGCAGCTTCCAAGGCGCTGTAAAACTGGGGCTTGTGCGTACAACGTGTACTGCCCCTTTGCCAGCCACATGTCCCGTTACGAGCAGCTTCTAAAGCACCACGACTGGGGCTTGCGTACGTACAACGTGTATTGCCCTTTGCCGTCATGACAGCTCGCCTGTTACAAGTGGTTTCCAAAGCACCGCACAACTGGGGCTTGAACGTACAACGTGTACTGCCCCTTTGCCTGCCATGACATTACAAGCCCGTTGGCTAACTGCCCCTCCAGTCATATCAATCTTATATCCCCAGCCCGGGTGCGAGCGACCATTCCTGACGGCGAGCGAGCCAGCTTCAAGCTCATAGCAACGCGCGTTCAAGAAAAGTTGGTCGGACAAGTGCGAGGCGCGCGCTCAATGACTCTGCTTCATGTCCTTCTTCTTGCTTTTTTTTTTTTTTTTTTTTTTTTTTTTTTTTTTTTTTTTCACTTGCGCCTGGTTTCTGCTCCTCGGGCGAGGTGGAGTGTCGTGACATCATCATCATCATCATCACCAGCATGAGCCGTTCAGGCATGATTGGAGCACTCTGTCAACGCCCGTTAGTCTCTCAGGTTTTTTTGGCAATCCTGAGTTTCATCACTGCTTCCAACACACGATTGAGGTACGCCGTGATACCTCAACGACTCGAGACGCAGTCGAGACGAACCCTTTTTCCAGGGGTTTCGGGGGCGTTTGTCGGGAAGGAGCAAGACATTTTTTGCTGTCTGCAGGTCGATTCTACCAGCTGCGGTTGGAACGTATTCACAATGACCAGACCAGGTGCACCGTTGAAATAGCTGCGGAATCGCTCTCGGTTCCAAGGACAGGAAAAGTGCGACGCGTGTCCAAGCGCAGGTATCAGGACAAGAAGAGACGACGGTAGTCAAAGACGGATTAGGCATGGCGGTCTGCCAAGATATTGCAAAAGTACTTGAAACACACGCACTTGTGCGCCTTCCCACATTCAAAGCTGGTGTGTGGATGAGCAAGCAAAGTCAAACCACCTTTGGGTATTCCCAACGAGGAGGCCTTGTGGTGAACGACGCTGGATGTGTGCAAAAGCAGGACAAGTGTCTGGGAGAGCAGATTCGACTGCACGACAAAGGATCTCAACGAAAACATCTAGGCAGTGTAGTAGACGACTAGTTCGGGGTAAATCTGGGCATTGTCGAACAATATCACCTCGCGAAACGTTCTTTGCGGTGTAGCAATGACAGAATCAAATCTGCAAGACAACCAAACACGAGTCCCATCAAACTGTGAGACAGGACTCGACGACATTGGATCTTGATCGACATACCGCTCGTTGTTGGGTGCATCGGGCAGCAGCGGGGGAGCCAGCGCCCCGAAAGGAGGCGAAGGATGGACATAGGCACGGCCCAACAGGGCCCGCGTAATAATGAGCATACGCTCGCCGTTTGCTCCGGGCGTCGCATATTGGTGACTCTACACTCAGGTTCAAGTCGACACACAGCGCCAAAAAACAATGTGAGGACACGCACGTAGAACCCTGCAGCCCAACAGTACCACCACACCTTGCCGGGATGCCCAGGCGCACAATCTTGTCGCGCAACATTGTGTCAGGGGCGATGCCGTGAAGCAACAAGCGCTCTTGACAGGGTGTATTTCGAAGCAAAGCTGGACAGCCCGAGAGCGCATCTACTGTGGCCGTATGAAGTTGATCATAGTGCTCCTGACTTGTAATGCGGTGCAGCATCTCCCATCGCTTGGCGCTGTACCGTTCCCACAGCACGGGGTTCTGCACACGCTCCACCCGCCGCACTGCAATGTTGCTTGGCTCCCGCCCGTCAGCACCCAGCTGCTGTAGCAGCTCAACCACCTTGGTACACAATGGGGTCAAATCAGTCGGCTTGTCAAGATAAAAATAATGTAAATATGACTATGTCGGCAAGCAACGCACCTCTGGGATGAGCTCGGGTGCGTCGCGCAAAACGTCAATGGCTGGTCCAACAGCTTGAGTCGTGACAGGTCGCTGCACTCTTTGCCCGGCGCTGAAGAGAATTGGCCGCTGCTTTGGATCTGTTGCAAGCAAGGCCCGTGTTTCCTTGTACAACTCGCTCGTCGAATTGCACATCTGCAGCAAAGGTCAGCAAAGCAAATCACAATCAAAGCGGTGCTCAGTTGTCGCTCAAGGGATATTGCGATATTACTCACCTCAGCCGCCAAGTGCGGAAAACTGCATTCTGCACCTCCTGCCCCTGCATCCCATGTGCATTGGTCGGCAAGCTGGTCCGTGGGTAAACGAGCAGGTGGCACCGTCTGTGGAAACATGTAGGTGTTGTATAGCACACAGCCAAAGGAAAAGGCATCCTGTGCCGGTCGTGCACCTACACGACCCATTCCAAATAGCAACTCCGGTGCTACATAGCCAGTCGTGCCCAACGACGCAGTGGCTGTGCATGGTAGCATAGTGGCTTCGGCCGCCGCCTTGGTAATGTCGAAATCGCCGAGCCGCACAACAGGTTGGTCCTCGTCACCGTCCAGCATCACATTGCTCAGCTTGACATCCCGATGCACCAGGCCCTTGCTATGCATAAACGCCAGGGCCATGCGCAGCTGCGTCATCAAACTCGCAACGACGGTCGAGGTGGCCAGATGCCGCGCCTTGCCGAGCCACTGCTGCAGATCCCCCTGTGTACACCACGGCTGCACCAGATAGGCGCTTGGGTGGCCATCATGCACGCCCACAAGCGCACCGAATACTGGAACGATGTTTGGATGCTCAAGCTGGCGCATGGCGCGAAGCTCGCGCAGAAACGTACGACACTGATTTTGCTTGTGTTGCTGGGCAAATGCATACTCCTTGACAGCCAAATCCTGTTCTTGCTCAGGCCGATTCGGCAGCGCTGCACGAGCTTTGTACACCTTGTGGTTTTGGTTGTAATGGAGCTCAAGCTGACCCAGGCAGGAGAGCGTCAACACTTGGTCCACTTCGGTCATGGCCTCCAAGATCAGACTGGCTGGAAGGTCGGGGCCAAGTACTTTGCGGAGGTGTACACCCAATGCACTGTGCTCAGGGTGCAAAAAGATCAAGAGGGCCGGAAAGTGTTGGTGCAGTAGCTCTGCCAGTGCTGCCAGTTGGTCCACCTGTGTTGCTTTCGATAGCTGCTGCTGCAACGTCGATAGTCGCTCCTTCTCTTCATCCAGGTTGGCTTGTATACCAGCTCGCATGTCGTCTGACACAAAAGCCAAGAATGCTGTGGTTGCCTGAATTTTCTTCTGCAGCTCGGCCACCTCCTCATGAATGGATACAACTTGATCTGCGCTGCTCTGCGTGATGCTGCTTGCATATTCTTCGCATAAGGTCACCACGGAGAGCGTCTTGGCCTGCCAGTCGATCATATCGTGCAGCTGCTGCAACAGGGCTTGTGTCTCGTGCAGCACAAACGCCAGGTACCAGTCCTGATGCTCATAATCGTGTTCTGCTCTCCAGTCTGCGAGCTGCTCCAGCCCATTCTGTTTGGGCGAGCTGAGACGTTCGTGAGCCTGGCACAGCTGCTCCCACGCCTCGGGAACGACTGGCCGAAAGTG